TTTGTCAATTACTCCGTTACTCTATACTTACATTGTCTTTTCAACTTACATATTGAGTATGTTCATACCCTGCCTAGAACACAGAAGCTTTCGATTAATATTTGCTCCTAAGATTTCAAATTGAATTTCTTCTTCTCACTTACTACTATACACCAAATCATCGTAGGCTCACAAATTAAAAAGATTAATTGAATGTCTATTGAATGATTGAATCTAAAAAAAAGATTGATATTTTTAAGATCTAAACATTCTTATGTTTTCCTTGGAGAAAGAAAGTGAATGTAATTAAACTTTTATGACATTTTTTTAAACTTAAGTCAGATGATAATATTGCATAGATTATTTCTTCCAGGAATCAAACAAATAAGACTGACTTATTTTGATTTAATTGACTTTTTCCAAAACTTTACTTTGATTTTTTTATTGCTCCTATTTATTTTTTTGATAAGACTTCATTTTGATCAACAAGTAAAGTAGAATTGTTGCATATCTCCAGTTTTGATAATAACTATAGAATCAAGAAATTACTTTATTTTTATAACGATTCAAGTGTTTATTTCTCTTAAATGTAAGTTATTTGTACTCATTTATTACCCCTGCTATATAGGAAAGAAAAAAATATATTAACAGTATTTGCTGAACTATTTCATTTTACCAGGCCAGAGTACTTGACTGTAGGAACATGTCTTGATTCCCATGGGTTTCTCTTGTAGTTTGCTTTCATTTCGTAAGTTCCATCTACTTTCTTACCGTACGTGTACCTGGAAAAGGATTTAAAAATACAGATAGGATTTGTGGTTTTTAATATTACTGATTCATGGTGTAGTAAATTGTTGATTCATGATAATTGTCATCTGTTTAAAATACAGCAATTGTTTCATACAACATTAAATGAAATTTAAAAAAAAAAAGACTAAAAATTTAGGACTAGGCAAACCTTTAACGTGGATGTAAATTTGAATTGGAAAAACTACTTTTTATACATATTAAAAGACATCATGAAAATGTGATGCACATCATTAGAATGAAGTTCCCTTATCATCATCATCAAAATTGCCCTGGGTGAAATTTGATCATTTTAGCCAATTTTTGAGTCGATAACTTAGCCTTTTCCTGTGTAAATGGATTCCTTTTATAAAACAAAAGAATATCTAACAATGTTCTAAGTAATTCAAAATAAAATTAATTATAAAAATTAGGCATCAATAAAACTTTGCAAGTTTTTTTATTGACACGAACACGGTTAATCATTTAGCCACTACCTTGGGGGCACGCTTGGCTTGCAGGTATGCTATGGACGCGAGTAACACTATACTCACAACGCTCTACGATCCTATTAAACCGGGACCTACGGTTTTAAAGTGGATTCTGAACCACTGCAAACATCCATGACACTGCCGGAATTTGAAACCTGCGGCACTGAGCACCAGAGCGCTAGCCACTCGGCCATCAGGCCCATTTTATTGATTTGTTCTTCTTTAAAAGGAAATACTCAATCCTACAAAGAAGCACTATTCTGTCACTGATAAATCTGTGGTATTAGGGGAGGTTTATGGAACATTTAGAAACAAGAACATTCCATGAATTTTAGGAGAAGATTTGTCTCGAATACATACATCATATTTTACGAATACATATGTGGAATACATGCTTCATGCCCAAAATACATCATATTTTATAGTTAATATTCCATGATTTCTGGGAAACGAATTTCAATATTATACACGTTTAAATACTTGTTGAACCACATAGTTAAAAGACATGCATTGCCAAATATAACAAGAGTTTTTATCACCAATTTATTTCTTACTTATATAGAACTTGTAGAAACTTCTTATTTATATATACTTAAGAATGAAAGATTACGCCAAAAATGTGCCACATTATAGCATGGGCTCACAAAAGGTAGTGTAGCCAGCGAAAATGCTTGTCCGTAAATATGAGAAATGACTTCAAAATGCATTTCAATTATTTATTTTTTCTTCTTTTATACATTTGTAATTTCCTTGACAAAGGATTATTGGCATGTTTCAAACTCTGTTGTTTTATATAAAGTATTCATACTCACTTACCAAGCACAAATCTCTACGGGTATCACTACGGCGTCAGCCATTGCAAATGATGGAGGTTTAACTTTCACTTCAAACTTAGGCAAAACTAGAAGAAATAAAAGTATGTATGGTTGTATTTTTTAAAAGTCAACAGTTTTTAATTTTCAAGGTTTTGAATGTTATGATAAATAAAGAAATCACATCAGATATTGTAAAAAGGATTGATGTAATATAAAAAAAAAAACTTCACAACAGGTATAGCATATCATGCTTAAGACTAATTAATACAGGACAGTCTAAAACAGTGCTTAGAATATCGAACATATACACTCAAGTGGCAAAACATTATGACCATCTGTCAATAACGAGTTGGCCCACCTTTGCCGAGTAACACAGCTTCAACCCGCCTTGCCATGGATTAATACCACCACTTAATACCAGTTAAATACCACTTCCACCTGATCACGTTCCTTCCACGTCATTCAGGCGAGTTCACTGAAAAATGTAGGGGTGGTCATAATGTTTTGGCTCTTGAGTATATATGGTTGATATATAAAACATATATATGGTACATATGGTATGTAAAACGCATATATTGGCATTAATATAGATAAATAGTTCTTTCTTACAATTTTACAGAAAGAATTAGTTTAAAAGTGAAATCAGGCATATGACCGTGATTTCCTGTGACAATCAGACCCAATCTTCCATCAGTGATGTTTGCAGGTACTGAATAGTTCTGGGTTCTAGCAGGTACTGAATAGTTCTGAAAAATTCAATTGCTCTCTCAATAGCTCCTAGGCATATGCTATATAGGGATTAAATCTGAAGATCTTACAAACCAATCCATCTAGAGAATATCCTGATTTTCAAAAATTCCTGAATTAAATTAGCCCTATGTGAACGTTCTTTGTTAACCATTAAAATAAAATCCTGAATTAACTGCAAAGGGCTCCAAAATCACATAACTAATCCGAATCTAATAACAATTTGAAATTTGGCTACGTGAAAGTCATGAGACTGTTGAAAAGTTATTGCACTCATGTAATGGATAAATATTGATCTTCATTGGCCGTCATGTCTCTTGGACGACTTTGAGTGGGCTTTGTCTTAGCCAATCCAGTACCGTTGAACTGCTTAAGCAAGCACATGGCATTATGTTATAACATCTAATTCGAATAAAAATATACATTTGAGGTAGCCCTGCTTCCAGTCTTTCTACTATTCACCACCTCATTTCCTCATTCAAGCAACGGGAATTATTTATTTTAATTGGTTGCTTTTAAATTTCATCTAAAATTGAAAAAAAAGCCAGTACAAAATTCAGCGAAATGCTGAAACAAATAGAACAGGGAAATTGTCACAAGCGTTCATAAACTTCCTCAAAATACATATGCATTCGGCACTAGAAATTTACATCTTTGCTTAGAAGTATTAATTTTACTTTATGGAGAAAAATGAAAAAATTAGTAAGTTCTCTTAATTTTGAAAGCAAAACTTTAAAATTATTTAGACGTATATCTTGACATATGCGTTTAAACAATTGTAAACAATTGGGGCCTATATCAGACTATGTCGGAATAGTCTTCAAAAATGATGAAACGGTGCTATTCAGCAGCTAGTCTTTTCATCGCTATTCTTTATGGTCTTAATTATACACTTAGCGTTCATTTATTTTCTCTTTGAGGATGAAAATATGTGTCACGATGGTTACTGCCTTTAAAAATAGTAAAAATCAAGTCTTAACTGTTCTAAAGTGGATAACTGAGACTACTACATCGCACCACATCACTGTGCCTAGAGCTGAGATGCTTCTTTATAGTTTTGGAATGATGTGGTTGAGAAGTCTGATTGGGCTGTCTGACGCTCTATGATCCTATGAAACCGGAAATTACGACATAAAATGGATTCCGAACACTCACAATCATCCATGGCACAGCCGGTACTCGAACCCTGTGGTGCCGTGAGCCAGAACGCTAGCCACTCGGTCATCAGGCTAATTGGGACTATGGATAATTGGGACTGTAAAGAATAGTGCTGAAAAGACTAGCTGCTGAATAGCGCTTTTTCATCCTTTTTGAAGACTATTTCGACATAGGCCATATACAGATTTATTCGAAGTTACTTTGTCCAGAGACAAAAATAATATAAATTTATAATAAAGACAATAAAATATGAAATGAATTATATGAATTTAATTAATATATATAATATGTCGACAGGTCAAATTTAAATTACTAATTTGCAATAAGTGATGATATGAATCTAATACACTAACATGAAGCCAGTGACGGTCTGATGGCATGGCGGAAGCTTGCCTGAATTGGTTTCCTGTCCTTTTATGTGCTTGTATGCATTTGATGCTTAAATATATCCTGCATTTATAATTTATAATTCATCCATCGATCACTTACATTTATTTATTTCCATAGCTTAATATTTCATCTGTTCAATCTTTATAGAGATGTGAGAACTTAATTTGTATATATTTTTGTTTGTTCTTTGTTAACCAATAAACTTCGCTGTGTATATTTGATCAGTGAGTCTGATTTCCTATAGTCAACTCAAAATATCATTACATTTTTTCAAACATGAAGTTCACATAAAAGACCAATTTTATAACAATATAAGTCAGCAATTTTACTAAATAAATGATATGCATAATGAAACATCGATTCAAAAAATATGCAAGCTTACCATATTTTTCAACATCAAATTTCTGCGTACTGGTGACTTTATTGATAATGGTCTTGATGCTCCATGTCCCCAAAGTTGGTTCATTAGATAATGGAAGCTCCAGTTGAACCATACCTGAAATGAAATTCTATTATAAACGAGACTATTTCAAATTATTAGAGGGTTTTCTTTTAGTTAAATAAATAAAAAATAAACAAAAAATGTGAAATTTGTCTAACTGAAATATTATTTTGGACACAGATGTCAGAATGCCTACGGCCATACCATGCTGAATATGCCGGTTCTCATTCGATCACCGAAGTCAAGCATCATCGAGCACGTCAACCCTTGGGAGGGTGACCACATGGAAGCACCACGAGCCGTTGGCATTCAAAAATATTTAATAGTCCGGGGGATCCACTGTTGCAGTGGTTTCCCCGAGGCAGTGGTTGTTGCAGTGGTTTTCCCTGACGAGATCGCGACTCGCCTCTCGGATTCGAAAGGAGTACTTATAGCACTTCAAACGTTCGCAAGAACGAGGAAGATGGTATCTGATGGCCGAGTGGTTAAAGCTCTGGCGCTTCGTGCTACAGGTTTCGGGTTCGAATCCAGGCGGTACCATGGATGTTTGTGAGAGTTCGGAATCCACTTTAAACCGTAGGTCTAATATGGCTACAGAGCGTTAGACGTAGGGCTAACAACCCTACTCTATAAAAGGCATCCATCTCCTGTCCCGAACTTTGCCAGTCGGCAGACGGCCTTGACCAACCATGAGGCTGTTCCGCCACTGAAGATGATGATTATGATGTCAGAATCCTTTCATTTTATGTTTCCACGCAACAGCGTTTCTGCCCGTTGCCCATGAATTTGCTAGTATTGCTTACAACTTTGTAACAGACATTATCATTTCAGTGAAACAAAGTTGTTCCTTAGAAGAAATTGAGCAATGCCATACAGGAGGATTTTAGCAAATGAAAAGGCTGGGAACTTTCCGTTGTAGAAAAGCTGGGAAATTACAATTAAGTTGCTGTGCTATCTGTGGGAGATACTTCTTTTACTCTTCATCGACAAGTCCACTCTTTTTTGTTGTTGCGTTGAGATTAATCCTCAGTATGCTGCAGTGCGGAACGGGCATTCGTGGGGGAAAGCCTACTTATATGTGGGGGTATCTACTTATGGATGGACTCTGTTGTGATGAAGCACCCATAGGTAGATGTCTGACTTGGCAGCTCCATGACGCTCTTACAGTAATATGATACCGGGACTTACGGCTTAAAGTGAATTCCAAACCACTACAAGCATCCATGGCACCACCAGGACTCGAACCCGAAACCTGTAGCACCAAGCGCCAAGCCATTCAGGCCCACACTTTTTTTCACAGCAGCAATTCTCGATGTCAGTGGGATCAAATTTCAGTTTATTCTAGCTAGCGAGCATAACCACTTGAAGTCCCACTTTCAAAATATTGTAAAAAAAGAACCACTCATCACAATGAGTTAAAATTTGAACTGAAGATACTTGAAGAAGGGGGAAACGGAACACCATCAAAAACGTTCCAAAGTGTATTAATAGATGGCACTGTAAGCGGCATAAAGAAAGTGAATTCTGCTGCCAGTGATATTTTAAATCGAAATGACAACGCATTTGGCATGAATTACGCATTAAACCAATTGCAGTGTTCCATGAGCTTGATTGTTCGATTTTTTGGCGAAAAAAAAATGACTTCAAAGTCTTTCAATAGTTATGACACTGTTAGTGGAAAGTCCATCCACTATGGCAAGGTCGTACCAAATTGGATGGAGAAAATCGATGGAACTCTTTTTGATGGAATACCGTTTCCCCCTTCTTCAAGTATCTTCTGTTCAAATTTGAACTCATTGTGACGAATGGTTCTTTTTTTTACAGCATTTTGAAAGTGGGACTATAGTTATAATCACCCTGTATTTTAATGCTGAAATTCAGTTAAAAATTTTGTGTTTTTTGTCTATCAGAAATTGTCTCATGTATACAGCAAAACCAGATGCTAAGTAAATAAATATACATAGAAGGATCACTGGTTACGTCTACGCACTAACAATTTGTAGATTATTTATATCAAAATGCTGAATAAACATCAGATATTTTCCCAGATAATGTCTGCAAGAAAACTATCCTCCTAAAATTAGCGTGTTTATTATTAAAAAAAAAAAATCTTAAAGGCCATCGCATTCCATTCAAATTTCAAAAGTTGCTGCTTGTGAAATTCTTAAAGTGAATTGATAAATCTTGATAGCTGATCTTGATGTAGGGATTACAATTTAAAACTACGCATTTTATGAAGTTTCACTTTCTTTTATTTGTTTGTGTTTCATTGTATCAGCAATCATGTTAAATTTTGGAAAAAACAACAACCAATTTTTGATTAATAGAATTTCTAATTTGTTAGAATTCTATTTTAGTTTTATTAACAAAAAAATGAAAAATGATTCATTTTTAAATCAATTAAACTCAATTAAATTAAATGAATACTATTAAATCGGGTAAATTTAAACAAAATGTACTGGTAATCTATTGATTATTTTATTAATCTATAGATTAAGATTAATTTAATAATAAGATTAATAATAAATAAGATAAATTTATTAATCTTATTTTTGCCGTGCAATTAACAGACATGTAATCAATAGCAGAATTGAGTCAAACTCGTCTAGTTTTAATTATCAAGTTGGATCCTTGCAAATTTTTTTTCAGTAGAATCCAGATAATTAATTTCAATTGATATCATGATAAAAATTATAATATTTTGTAGTGAGCAGATTGGGCAACCATATTTAACTGGGCGTGGTTGGGTTGAGATACTTAAGACACAGGTTGGAGAACTCACAGCTTTATTTGCACAAACAACACTCACATATACTTAGAAACATACAATATTTAACGTATTTAAAAACAGATAATTATAGATATGTATTGCCGAGCTCCAGAGCGCTTGTCACTCGACCATCAGCTATATGAAGCTATACAGAAAACTAATATTTTGTTTTTTTGTTTTTAAAAATATTATTCTAAGTCAGGGACCTGTGACTTTCTCTTACTAGCAAGGGGTCACTGTAATTGACAACCTCTCTCTATACGAATGAATTATAAAACAATAAAGTTGAACTATTTTTACCTTCATCAAATTTAATCTGTTTCCATTGGACTACTCTGATATCTGAAGGATCTTCAATCCACACATCGGCTACCTGTAAATATGTAACAGTATTTTTGATTGTGAGTTAAAAATTTAAATATTTAGGAAATGCTTTATTCTAAAGAAAATAGCAATTAAACAGTAAAAAAAATTGAATTGGCAAAATTGGAAATTAGTCTATACTAATAACTTAATTCTAGGCTTATTTTAAATTTAAATTTCAGATTTAAAAAAATACTTGATTAACTGATTACTAATATAATTATATGATTACCAATATAAATTTATATAAAAAATTAAAGTATGATAGAAGAATTTTAATGTATTAAATAATACTGCAAACAATGAAAAAACTAATAACTCAGTCTTGTTAAAAAAATAAATTTAAAGTTAACATTTTAATAACTATTTAAACTAAAGTTTACTTACTGCATTTGCTTCTAAAGGTTTTAGTTGACTGTCTAGAGGCAGAACTCGAAATTTAACTGAAAAAATATTTTTATGATAATAGAATTAAATATTAAAAAACGTTTAAATGCATTTGAAGGATTATTAGACGCTTTCAAACCTATACAAAATATATTGATGTGAAATATTATGTAATTAATAAAATATTATAATTTTTTACATAAATTTTTATAAATACATTAATTTATACATCTAATTGAAGGTTGTTTAAAAACACAGTGAATATATATAAATAATTAGAATTTTAAAATACATGGCATTTTATTATAGTAATTTTTCCGAAAATATATATAAAAAAAAACACAGATATTCTGTAATCTTAAAGTAATATTTTGATGGATTTTACAGTAGATGGTAACAAATAAATAAACGTATGCATAAATTAAAATTCATAAAAACATTTATTATCATGCTATTATATTTATTTAACGTAAGAAATCTATAAAATGACAAGATAAATGATTGTGTTTAAACTATACAATCAATTTCTAACAACTTTGAGGTGTTTTATTTACAACTAACTGTTTATTCGGCTTTGCAGACAGAACAATGTAATCTGACAGGAGAATGATGTATACTACTGTGCCGAAAAAGTGAAACCAATTATTTTTTTCTCAAAAACTCTTTATTTATTCTTCCAAATTTATTTCAGTGCCCTCAAAGAAATCCCCCTCCGAATACAATGCACTTATGCCAAGATATTATCAATATTATTGGACTTTTCTTCCTTGCATTGTGTTTGTTTCGGATTGAATGGGACTATTAAATACTCATCCATTGATTTTTCTGGTGGATGTCTTACATTTGCCATTTTCATTGTATGATGAAAAGCATTCAAAAAAGTATGGAAATAAAATATATTGAAATATGCAAATATTTATACATTACAAAATATATATTTGCATTTGACTATTCTTTAAAGAAAGAAAAAGAGTAAATATTGCCAAGTTATTTTCCATCAACCTCTGTGCTCACCTGTTTGTCCCGGTTTGTAGATGGGCTTGTCTGTCTGGACGAAAGTGATGATGGTGGAGTGTCGTATGAACACCTCCTTCTCTGCCTCTATCTTGTAGCCGTCGCTGAAGGTGCCTTTCAGCTGCAGCTTGGCCTTCGTGTCAGTGGACAAGGGAGGAACCACGATCTCCACCCACATGTTCATGTCTGGAAAGAGTCGAAGTGTCAATTTTTTTTCTAATGCAGCTGGCAAACACTTAGACAGCTGGTCTTGGATGCCTTGAGGCAAGCGCTGCACAGACGTCCCTCACTTTGCATTACCCAAGGGGCTCGTGTAACTTGAAGATAAGCCACGGACGCGGAGTAACAATGCCCCCGCAACGCTCTACGATCCTATTAGACCGGGACCTACTGTTTAAAGTAGATTCCGAACCACTACAAACATCCATGGCACCGCCGGGACTCGAACCCGAAACCTGTGGTACCGAGTGCCAGAGCGCTAGCTACTCGGCCATTCAGGCCCCTGAAGTGCGGATTGTTGTGAGATATATTCTTTGATTATTTTTTACAGAAACTGTGCATTGATACGAAATACTCTTAAATTTTAATAATAAAAATTATTTTGTATTAAACATTAAAGTTTGATTGGTCTCAACATAAAATTGTGTGATGTTGTTTGAAAATGACACGAATGAAAAAAATTACTAAATAATAATTTTTATTTTTTTTTTATTTTTACACCAAGGACTTTATATAACACACTGTATGGGGAAAAACCCGGGAAATTTTTCA